TTTTTTTTAAGTGCTGCACATGAAAAGAGATGTCGAGGCGTTACATGTATCTTGCCCAAAAGTGTATTAACATAGTACATGCATCTTTAATTTAAATAGAGAAAAAGGATTTATGAGTTGTCTCTTGTTTCTACTTTTTCCCCTCTCTAAGGAAATCCAACCACGATATGGTTATTCTATTCACAGGCATATATAAATATCTGAATTTTTTTTTGATAACTTTACACTGTATATTGATCGAATTAATCGACAACTTTTAAGTTTTAAGCCTTCAATATTGCTTATTGAAAAGTAGATAGGTGATAGGTCTAGATATTCGCAAGCGATGCCAATAATATATGTACCATAGAGAAAATTGGGTGGCATAAGAACTATTGTTACAACGAAAGGAGATTGTATTATTTATTGATGAACATGAGAGAAGAAAAGGACGATTAACAAATTACAAAGTACACGTCTAAAAGTAAATTGTACATGAACTAATAATTTTATTATATTCAAAAGAATTACGAATTTATATCTATTATATCCTAAAATAGTTAAATTTGAATACAATCCTATTAAAGTTGTCATATAACTTTATACCCTTTGTTTATCCTAGAAATTTTATGCCTATTTGTTTTCACCTAAATCAACTATAAAAGAATTATACCTGTGATATGGATCTAAATAAGAATTATTTTTAGAAAGGGAGATTTTTCCTTTGTGTCATGTATGAATAATTGAATATTATGAATTATTTTTAGAAATTATGATTAATGCTGAACATAAATGAAATTCAAGGGACCCAATATCCTAAACAAGATGTTTGATCTATGTCTCTCGATCTCACTTGCCATCAAACGTGCACACCCACATGCTTAGGTATTATTGTTTATTATCTTATCTCCTCCAAGAAGTGGGACACTACATCTTTGACTCTTCATTTGGATCTTCTAAATATGGCTTCTTTTGTGGTTCTCTTGGTCTGTTTAGTATCTTCCTTAATTCTCTAGGTCTCTTTCACCCCCCCCCCCCCCTTTGATTCTTTTCTTTTTATTTTAATTTATCCTATTTTTTTATGTAATTTTTGATGAGGACATGCTTCTGTGTCTGGTAAGATACTAATAGCAAGTCTAATGCTAAAGAAGGAATTATCTGATAATTCTTTGCTATCTTTCATTTATTTATGCATTATATATACAAAATGTCGTTGACAATTATTAGCTCAACATAATTTAGGAAAAACGAATCCAGTAGAATGAAAATAATGTATGTGACAAATGACAATTACAACCAAATAATATCGTAATAATATCTTATCCTTGAGTGATTATAACCAATAATTACATAAGAGTCACAAAGGTATGTGTGTCCTCTTGGGCCTAATAACTTGGTATGAATTGCTATCATCACCCTTTGGTGGAAATATCACCTTGTCCTTAAGGTGAAAAATAGTGCAAATGTCCATCCATTTCTCCCAAGTAGTGTCTTTAGGGGCCAGGCCAAGCTATTGAATAAGTACCAACTTGGTAAAGGGGTCAATAGAGGGGTCCGATTTCCAATCAATGATGGAAAGATGTTTAATCACAAAGTGTTTGTCAATATCCCTAGGTTTGAGTAAGTCAGTAATAAGGAGAAGTGGTCCTTTATGGAGCTTCAACAATGAACAACGAAAGACAGGATGAATCTTAGAAGATGGTGGCAACTAGAGGTGGTATGCAACTGTCGCAGTACATTCAATGACTTGAAAAGGACCATAAAATCACTAAGATAGTTTGTGATAGGAACCAACAATGGAACGTTGTCGATAAGGACAAAGACAAACATATACCCAATCCCCAACAGTGTATGAAACGATGTGACATTTGGTGTCAGCAACATTTTACATGGCAGCTTGGGCTTTTGCAAGGCAACACTGAAGCATAGTGTGCATGGCTTCTCGTTTGGATAAGAGAGAATCCACGGGCTCCATTGGAGATGATCCCAACAAATAGTGGGGAATGGTAGAGGAGGTTTACCATAAGTGATTTCAAAGGGTAGAGAGACTCGTGCTTGAGTGGGCAAATGTGTTATAAGACCATTCAACCAAAGTGAGAAACTTGGAACACTGAGATGGTTTGTCATGCACAAAGGAGCAAAGGTATTATTCCAAAACCTTGTCAAACAATTTCGCGTGTGTTTGCATCAACTTTGAAACGTGAAAATTTACGTTTACGGGAAGCAATAAATTGAAGCTTCCACGTAAATTTGCTTATGAACATGGAGAGAGAAAAAAAAATTACGTTTCCAAATCAAAACCAAACACGCACTCGTTTGTTAGTTGGAAGCAAGATGATAAGAAACACTCGTCCAAAGTTTGGTGTCACTATGGAGAAAAGATAAATACATACTAGAAGGGAGTTAAATAATGTCAATAAAGAAATCAAACTTTTGTAAGTAATGAAGTAGTAATACTAACAGAAAAGGCTGTTGAAGAAGAGGTAGATGAAACATACAATATTTTTATATTAGTTAGTCTCAACAATGGAGACCACATCTAGTTCTTAATCTAATTAACCAAATTAAGTTCTATTATCTTAAACAAGATACAAGTATTTTTTTCAATAAATTACTTCTAGCTCAAACCTAAATGTTCTTTGAATACCCCTTCAAGCAATTTATCCAAATATTCTTTTGTACAAAACCTCTTCAGGTTTCAACACTAAGTATTTTTTTACAGTCAAGTCTCTACAGACTCAAACAAGTATTCTTTTGTAGCCAAGCCTTTCCAGACTCAAACAAATATTCTTTTGTACCAAGCTTTTATAGACTCAAACGAGTATTCTTTTGCGAACAAGTCTCTCTAAGCTCAACCTTATAGCAACATTTATATTTGGGTAAAGTTTTATCAGTAATTATATTCTGTGTTACAAACAAGACGTGATACAACTAATTAAGAAAAAAATCTGTACAGAAAGAATGAATGGATAATTATTTTTAAAATTTTGAGGATTTCTCAAAAGCGTGTTTCGTCTGTTTTCATTACAAGTTTCTCGAGGTGAGAAGTGTTCGTTGATGCATTAAGTTCTTGCATATGTTTCACTAAATTGTCACTTTTTATTTGATCAAGAAGTTACTTATCAACTTTAGGATACCAAACATACTATTTATAATGTGTGTCAATGATGAGCAAGTTCTGCATCAACTTTTGCTAACTTTTTACGTGATATCAGAGATTCATTTGTCCTTTGTTCTGGTGTAAAGCATGACTTCTTTTCTTTAACAAATTTGTGTGTTCTAAGGAGTTTTTTTTTAGTTTGATCTATTAAGAATCATTCAAATATGCAACAAGTAGTCGTTAATCATTATAAATAGTATGCATTTAAAACTTTATGAAATCAAATTGTATGTTTCGTCTGATGACACATTATCTATCTAAAGATTTGTGACTTTATGATCAATTTTTTTTAACAATTTCATGTCTTAAATATTTTAATAATGCAAAAGTAAATATTTTTATTTTAAATAAATTTACGCTTATCTAAGAGTGACATTAAAGTGATTAAAACATGTCATCAGACTAATTTTCTCCCGAGACTTGTACATTTCTTATACGAGATCATGAAATATAAATTAAAAAAAAAGCAAGTGAAATAATTTAGTATTGGAGTCGGAACTTGTTAATAGCTGGATTGATTGGTCACCACTGGTTTTAGTGTTGTTGGGTTTATAATTTGGGTTGGGCTTCATATGTTAAGAAACCCTGAAACAAAGCTCCCCTATTGGCTCATGATATATATACTTCCTTTTTTTTTTTTTTTTAAGTACACCTCCTTCTTTTTTTTTTTTTTTTTTTTTTTTTTTAAATTTATAAAGTATTGTAGTTTTTTTTTTTTTAATTTTCTAATTTTACACCTCCAACTTTCAATTTGCTACTTTCTTCTTTTTTTTACACACTTTTTTTTTTTGTTTTCATATGTTACTAAAATAGGTGTGATGAAGGAAAGGTAAGGAAGTACATATAAAAATTGAAAAAAAGGAAAGAAGATGTATGAAAAAAAAGTACTAAATTAAATATTGTAGATGTAAAATTAAAAATTAAAAATAAAAAAATTAAATATATTTTAGAAATTTAATTATTTTTTAAAAAAAGAAGGTGTACTTATAAACAAAAGGAAGTGTATATATCATGAACCTTTTCCTTTTTATATTCCTTGGTTGGGCATTTGATCAAGAATGACAAGAAAGAAAAAAAGAGAAAAGAACAATAAACCGAAACCCACCATTAATTGTAAAATCTTGGTGACAATTTCCGATCAAATACTGGATCATCTAATCTATACCAAAACTTATATCAATAATGAAGATTGTTTAGTGTTTATTTTTCCTTTTTCTTTTTATTTTATTTTTGATAACTATAAATAACTTTTAATAATTGTATAAATTATTAATATATATATATATTTAATTTTTTTTAATGAAAACACGTAGTATTTTTTTTTCAGTGGTAAATTATATATACAAGCATAGTTTCCTATATTAACGAGTAAACAATATAAAAAAAAATGAAATTGACCAAATTACTAATCCATGGGAAGTTACGAAAGAAACATCTATTCAAAAGTTATTAAAGAAGAAGTTTATTATTATATTTATTTTCTAATGAGAAAAAATCGGATAGGTTCAAATTATCAAATCAATTCAAATTTAACAAATAGAAATTTAATTAATTTGATTCAAATTTTAAATTATAATTTACTAAAATCAAATTAAATCAATTTATTTGATTAATTTATTATTATTATTATTATTATTATTATTTTAAGTTATCAAATAAGGATTATCATTAAAAGACAGAAAAGATATGTGATGTATTCAATCTATTTTCTTGTGTTCGAAACTGACCTATTTATCCAATATTAAAGGATGAAAATGAAATTCAATTTTTCTTTTTTTGAAAAATCATGAAATGTCACAATGTTCATCATTTGTGCATAAAACACCTCATCATTTCTAACATATAATTGTTCTAAGTCCAGTCTTATGCATAACAAGGGAGGTAAACTTCTGATTCCCATGCCCACTATGCAAATTCAACTGTTAAAGTCCATCTCGAAGCAGTAACATTTTACAAACAGGAGGTTTGAAAATTGAAATTACAAGGTTTGAGATTCCAAGGCTCTTTCAATTCACTCTATTGTTATTCCAGTATACATAGTTCGACTTGGTGCTCCATTGTTGTTGAATTCTTCAATTTGCTCTGTTTTCTGCTTCATGAAAAGGAAGTCAATGTTTATCTTCTGATAAATGTAGTTATATTCACACGTTACTACTTACAATTTTTCATTGCCCTCTGCTTTAAACTCAGTAATTTTGTTCATATCGTCTCATTGGTGACTGCATAATATATGGAATCACAACATCATCAATCTTGCAATTTCAATTTTAAATCACAACAGCAAGTTTGTATTTGTGCCTTTTTGATAAAGTTCATATCAATAAATATATATATATATATATATATATATATATATATTTTTTTTTTTCTCTCGGACTGAATTCAGAATTCATTTACAACTTTTCATTGCAAGATAGCTATGATATATATATGTTTTACATGTTATTATGTTAGGATTGCTTAACAAGATTGCTGATAAACTTGAAGGTTCTACTGTCAATCAGGACTGTGCTTTCTAGTTGTAAAGGATTAAGCTTGTTTGATTCAATCTTTTTATTTATATTGCTGTATTTTATTTTTTTTAAAGGGTCACACCAACGATAAGGATTTCCAGACTCATGCAAGCAACTCTTGATGAGATGAGTCTTTGCATGAACACCCCGGCAAGTTCATGATGACACCGCTTTTTCTCTACTTGTATGTTCGGAGTCCTCAACTGAGGTTCTTGGTGTGATCTCGTGAGGAATATGAACCACATCAACTGAATTGGATAATTTGTCTCCAATAATTTAGGTTTTTTTTTTTTTTTTTTCGGTAGTCAGAAGCATTCATTGGCTAAGTGGTTGATGCAAACTCAGCAATTTTTTTTCTTCTTCCGTTGCTAACAACATGAATGCTACCAACTATACTAACAAGTAATTTTTCTCTGTAGCAGCACCTCATCCCAGGAGCAATGTGCTCATCTAACCTCTGTAAAGAATATTTTAGAAAACTATGTTTTAGTTACCTGATTTCAGAGAAGGAACTCTCCAGTTGCGGGGTTTGTATAAGGCACTAAGTCACCGGTAATCTACCAGACTAATTTCAATCTCTGTTTTGATAATGTGAATTGTTCTTTAACAATTAATTTCAGGAGCATCTACGATGTGCAAGACATGCGATTGCTAACATGGAGAACTTTGCCTCAGCTTGTACTTGATAAGTCAAAAAGTTATGCCTTTAACAACTTTTAAACAAAAATTTCATGTCTAATATTATATGTTATTTTCAATGTCTCTCTCCTCACTAATGTTTCATAATTTAGAAACAATAAATAAAATATAAAATTTCATTAAAAAAATTAAGGAACTTATTTATACTTAGTTAATATATATATATATATATAAATTCGATTACTTAAAAAATAAGTTTATCTAAACTTATTCTGTTTAATAATTAATATTTTATATTAAATTTTAACGATTAAATTGTTGAATAATACTTTGTTTATTAATTCAAATGAAAGTATAAAATGATTTTATGATTACCTATTTATTTGAATTAATAAAATAAAGTGTCAAATGATTTTTATTTATTTATTTTTTAAAATTTACAGACTTAATTTATGTATTAAGAAATTTAAATTTAACGCTTGAATCACTGAAATTTAATGTAAAACGTAAGTTATTGAACGGAATAAGTTTACTTTTGGAGTAAACAGATCCATCCTCTCTCTCTATATATAGTGAGAGAGAGGAGGAATCAATTTACTTCAAGAATAAGTTTATATAGATTTACTTCATTTAATAACTCATGTTCCACATCAAATTTCAACTATCTAACCATTAAATTAAAACATTTTAATGCTTATATCAAGTCTGGATTTTTTTTTTAAATTTGAAAACTATTTGATACTTTGTTTCATTAATTTAAATTGATGGATAATCATAAAAAATATTTGTACGTTGATTTGAATTAATAAAATGGAGTATCAAATAATTTTTAAAATTTTAAAAAACTTACAAACCTGATCCATGTATTGAGAACTTTTAATTCATCAATTGAATCGTAAAAATTTGATGGAGAGCATGAGTTATTGAATGAAATAAGATTTGGTAGACTTATTTTGGAGTAAATGATTCTCACTCTCATATATATATATAAGATGAATTAATGAAATAGGATATCAAATAATTTTCAATTTTTTTAAAAAATTTGTAGATTCAATCTATGCACTAAATTTTTTTTAATTTAATGGTATTGAATCGTTAAAATTTGATATAAAATATGAATTATTGAATGAAATAAATTTTGAAAGACTTACTCTTAAAATAAATAGACTTTTTTCACTATACACACACATTAATTAAGTGTAAATAGTCTTTTAATTATTTTTATGAAATTTATATTTATTTTATTGTGTCTGAACTAATTATCACTAAAAAATTAAGTTTATTTATTTAATTTTTAATAAATGTTATATAAAAAGAGAAGCTGTATTTTTTAATTCACTTTACTAAATAAAATGGAATGTGATAGGATGTGACGTGACATGACGAGACAAGACATGCAAATTTTTGTCACTTTCACTTCAAATAATTTTTTTATTAATTCATATAAAATATTCAAAATATTGGTTATAAAATTATAAATATTATAAAGTTACAAAATATATAAACTTAAGATAAGTTCAATTATTTTTAAATTTTAAAATAAAATTTTCATGCTGTAAAAAAACACCGTATAATTTTATATATATTAGTAAAATGGAAAATATATATAAGACTATATTCAATTTAAATATTTTTATTCTTTTTATATTAAAAAAACTCAAACAATTAATTATGTTATCTCAATATATTTTTTTTATAAATGAATGTATTTTTAACATGCATAAAAATGAGAATAACAAATGTAAATGTAATGGTATTGTTCTAGTAAATATATTAAAGAGAAGAAAGGTTGTGTTAATTAATAGACAAATGAAGCAAGTCTTTTTAAACAAATATTTATTGGCCCTTGTTAAGCTAATATTATTTATATGGTAGTTTTTTTAAAATTTTTTTGAAAATATTATTAATGATTAAAATTATTCTCTGGGGTCGCAAGCGAGAGTTTTACTTGCTTTATCATTTGGCCAACCAATACGTTATTTTGGCAATATGGCAAACCTAATACAGAGCCTAAATTTGTTAAATCCCTGTTTGTTTCGATGATGGAAAATTTTTCAATGAAAACACACACTAATATAAATTATGACGTTAATTTGAGCACAATATCAATTATTTTTAGATGTTTAAAATTAAATATAACTTTTAAAACAAACAAACCTTTAATCACTCGGGATTCTAGGACTTTGCCTGCTTGGTTATTGAGTGCCAACACAGTACTTAAGTTAATGTTCACTGTGCCGTGAACAAACCAAATTCTGCTTGAACATGCAACAAAAAAAGCCCATGAAATTGAAAGGAAAAAATAAGGGTAGAACAAAGCAACCCGGAATCTTTTGAATTTTGATATCTTCTCCCTGAAGGGGTCCATTTTTGAAGGCTATTAATAATAATAAAAGAAAGGAATAAATTATGGAATGAAAATTGAAAGAAAAGATGGAATATGAACATCAAGTTACTCTGTAATATATTCCAATCACTGATTAGTCATCATCAAGTTTTATTTTCTTAGTCTGCTAGGAATCGAACATATTCATTTCATGATTTCTCTCACTCCCTTTAGTTATGTGTTTACCCTTTTGACAAGTGTCTCTGCGAATCTGCCTTTTCGTGGATATTTCCTTGCAGAAAACGGATGCAACAGGAAACAAAATCAAATTCACTTTTATTAAATGAATATTAAATAATTAACATTATATTTAGTTATTTCTTTATATCTCGTGAAAGAGAAACACCGTGATGTGTTTATTTATTTATTTATTATTTATTTATTTTTTTTATTTTTTTTTACAATGAGTACATGGGTTTTGTATAAAGAAATAAAACATGGAGAACGAGGTAAAGGGAGTTTGTAATAAGAAAAAGGTAACATGATTGAGATATCCAACCAAACATTGATGAACTTTTATTTTAATAAAAATAAAAAAAGCCTAAGTAGAATATGTTCACAATTGAGTGGTCAACTGGTCAACCCTATCATTTCTTTATATCTACTTCACACACAAAAATGAAAAAAACAAAAAAGAAAAAGAGCTTGCATTGCATTGTTAGCTGAACCAGCATTATTGCAGGGGTAATTCAATGGGATCTGCCAATGAAGAATCCTCTTCTTCAGGATGGTCGAACCATGTTTTCTTGAGTTTTAGGGGTGATGACACACGAAAGGGTTTCACAGACCATCTTTTTGCTTCACTAGAGAGAAGGGGGATCAAAACATTCAAGGATGATCATGATCTCGAGAGGGGAAAAGTGATATCAGTGGAACTCATGAAAGCAATTGAAGAGTCCATGTTTGCACTCATCATTCTCTCACCAAACTATGCTTCCTCAACATGGTGTTTGGATGAGCTCCAAAAGATTGTAGAGTGTAAGAAAGAAGTTTTTCCAGTCTTCTATGGTGTAGACCCCTCTGATGTGAGGCACCAGAGAGGGAGCTTTGCCGAGGCTTTCAGAGAACATGAAGAGAAATTCAGAGAAGACAGAAAGAAGGTGGGAAAATGGAGAGATGCCTTGAGAGAAGTTGCAGGTTACTCTGGCTGGGACTCCAAGAATCAGTAAGAGGTCTCATCATCATTCACTTTGTTATATATATAATTTTTTTTTAGCTCGAATGATATGTTATCATCGTTATCATTATATATAAAACACGATGGATGAACGACCAAATTATGATCCATAAGAAAATAGTATCCTGAACACACACTAACCAATAGCCTATAGAAAGAAAAACAAAACAAAACAGAAAAAAAAGGAATCAGAAAAGGATTAGCAAAGACAAAAATGAGAATAATAATAATAATAACAGAATGGAGCCTACCAGGCTGTGTGTGGTGGCCACAGGCGCCATAACTTGATCAATTTGGTGACACGTGATCCATTGATTCCACGTTAGATGAACATTTGCCACGTTGATCAAAATTAGCATCGTTAGAGCAAAGAACTATTATAAGGATCAATATGTTCTACTAGAGACATTTTAAGTGATCAAAATAAAAAAATTAAACTTATGGAACCAAATTAAAAGCCAAAACTCAGATGAGGGATCAAAAAGTGTATTTTAGTCATTTTTATTTTGTTTGTCCGTGTGGTACATTGAAATTTGAACATGAGACCTAGTTGGAAAGGTTTGTTTATCGTTTTACCTTGGATTTGCAAAACATAAAATGATAACTAGTTTTCTCTATCTATTTGTTATATATGTTTATAGTTCTTGTTGGAGTAAATTACAAGTCTTATTTTGGTCCTTCTCTTTATATAGGCATGAGGCAGCACTGATAGAAACAATAGTTGGACACTTACAACAAAAATTAATTCCTAGATTGCCATGTTGCACTGATAACCTTGTTGGGATTGATTCACGGATGGAGGAAGTGATTTCACTCATGGGCACAGGTCTAAATGATGTTCGCTTCATAGGAATATGGGGCATGGGGGGAATAGGTAAGTCAACCATTGCTAGATTAGTATACGAAGCAATCAAAGAGGAATTCAAGGTTAGTTGCTTTCTTGAAAACGTTAGGGAGGAGTCTAAGACAAATGGCTTAGTTCATATTCAAAAGGAATTTCTTTCTTATCTTAATGTAAGAAGCAATGATTTTTACAATTTATATGATGGGAAAAAAATAATAGCTAACTCTTTAAGAAACAAAAAGGTTCTTCTTGTTCTTGATGATGTAAGTGAATTAAGCCAATTGGAGAATTTAGCTGGAAAGCAAGAATGGTTTGGTCCAGGAAGCAGAGTAATGATCACAACCCGAGATAAGCACTTGCTAACGACACATGGAGTGCATGTAACTTGTAAGGCAAAAGGCTTAGCCCAAAATGAAGCCCTTCGGCTCTTTTGTTTGAAAGCATTTAAACAAGATCAACCTAAAGAAGAGTATTTGAATTTGTGCAAAGAAGTGGTTGCATATGCAAGAGGCCTTCCATTAGCTCTTGAAGTATTGGGTTCCCATCTTCATGGAAGAACCGTTGAGGTTTGGCATAGTGCTTTAGAACAAATAAGAAGTTTTCCGCAATCCAAAATCCAAGATACACTGAAAATAAGCTATGACAGTTTACAACCTACGGAGAAAAAAATGTTTCTTGATATTGCCTGTTTTTTCAAAGGGATGGACCTAGATGAAGTGATAAATATCTTAGAAAATAGTGGAGATCATCCCAAAATTGGAATTGACATTTTGATTGAAAGATCTTTGGTAACTCTGGATAAGATGAAGAATAAGTTCGGGATGCATGATTTGCTACAAGAAATGGGTAGGAATATTGTATTTCAAGAATCTCCAAATGATCCTGGCAAACGTAGTAGATTGTGGTCTCAAAAAGACATTGATTATGTATTGACAAAAAACAAGGTAGGTGCCAATTTCTCTTCCACTATTCTATACTTTAATGATGCATGCAATATATATATATATATATATATATCTTTAGGTGTGCGTTTCATCTCATTCTACAAAATAACTTATTTGTCATTCTGATTTTCTAGGGAACTGATGAAATTCAAGGCATAGTTCTGAATTTAGTTCAATCGTCTGATTATGAAGCACGCTGGAGCACTGGAGCCTTCTCCAAGATAAGCCAGCTAAGGTTACTCAAGTTATGTGATATGCAACTTCCCCTTGGCCTCAACTGCCTTCCTAGTGCACTAAAAGTTCTTCATTGGAAGGGATGTCCTTTGAAAACCTTACCACTTAATAATCAACTAGATGAACTTGTTGACCTCAAATTGCCTCATAGTAGAATAGAACAACTTTGGCATGAGACAAAGGTAAAGACAATTTATCAAGAGTTCTTTCCAGATTGTTTTTCTTATCACCATAATAGTTCAGAAAGCTAATATAGTTTTTATTTCCACCATTAATTTTGAACAGTTTCTGGAAATGCTGAAGTCCATCATTTTGAGCTTTTCCAAAAACCTAAAGCAATCCCCGGACATTGTTGGGGTTCCAAATCTTGAATCATTGGTTCTTGAAGGTTGCACAAGTTTAACTGAAGTTCATCCGTCCCTTGTAAACCATAAGAAACTTGTTATGGTGAATTTAAAAGATTGCAAAAGGCTCAAAACTTTTCCAAGTAAAATGGAGATGAGTTCCTTGAAAGATTTAAATCTTTCTGGTTGCTCTGGATTTAAATATCTTCCAGAGTTTGGGGAAAGCATGGAACATTTGTCAATGCTTTCTTTAGAGGGGACTGCTATAACAAAACTACCCTCATCGTTGGGATGTCTAGTTGGCCTTAATCATTTGGATTTGGGGAAATGCAAGAATCTTGTTTGCCTTCCAGATACCATTCATAAATTAAAGTCCCTCATAGTTTTGAATGTTTTTGGCTGCTCAAAACTTAGTAGCTTGCCAGAGGTTTTAAAGGAAATCAAGTGTTTGGAGGAACTTTATGCAGGTGAAACTGCTATTAAAGATCTACCTTCATTTGTCTTTTATCTGGAAAGTCTCAAGAATATCTCATTTGCTGGGTGCAAAGGGCCAGTAGCTAACTCAGTAAATGGACTTTTTCTCCCCTTTAAGTGGCTGTTTGGGAATCAGCAAACTCCTACTGGATTTAGAATACCACCTTCAATAAAATCTATACTGAATCTACCGTCTTTGCGTAGAATAAATTTAAGTTACTGCAATCTATCTGAAGACTCAATCCCAGATGATTTTTGTCACTTATCTTCATTGCTCATTCTAAATCTTACTGGCAACAATTTTGTTAGCCTACCAAGTTGCATTTCCAAACTCTCAAAGCTTGAATTTCTTATCCTAAACTGCTGTGAAAAGCTTCAAAGGTTGCCAGAGCTTCCATCAAGCATGCGAGGGTTGGAGGCAAGCAATTGCTCTTCACTGGAAACTTCCAAATTCAATCCATCCAAGCCATGTAGTCTTTTTGCATCGCCTACAAAATGGAATTTACCGAGAGAAATTAGAGTCTTTATGGAGGTTTGTACCCTGGTTTTCCCCACTTTCTAAAACTATTTTGTGTATGACATAATCATCCATTCTTGATTTCATGTGACTTATTCAACATTACATTATGTCATGTGTGTTCAACATACAGGGACTCCGTCTTCCCAAAAAAAGATTTGACATGATTATTACAGGGAGTGAAATTCCATCATGGTTTGTCCCTCAAAAATATGTTTCATTTGCAAATATACCAATCCCTCACAATTGCCATATAAACGAATGGGTGGGATTTGCTTTGTGTTTCCTGTTAATAAGTTATACTGTCCCACCTGAGGCGTGCCATCATGAAGTTGATTGCTACTTGTTTGGACCTAATGGTAAGTTGTTTATCAGCTCCACGGATTTGCCTCCCATGGAGCCATGTTACCCTCACCTCTATATTCTCTATTTGTCCATTGAAAAATACCGAGAAAAATACCAAGAAATAATTTATGAAGGTGGTGACAACAGTGAGATTGAATTTGTATTGAAAAGTTATTGTTGTCATTCATTGGAAATAGTGAGGTGTGGGTGTCGTTTGGTATGTAAGCAAGATGTTGAAGATATTTATGAAAATAATTTCGAGGATTTGTCCTAATATTGTAGTTGGTACTTGAAAATAGTATCCTTTTTCTTCTAGTGAAAAGCTCCACTTGCTAATAAGATGGTGTGAATTATCTAGCAAGTTTTCATGTAATTATTCATATATCTTGTTACTTGTATATAAACTTCTCCCTGTGCTTGTAGTTTGAACTCAACTTTTGCATATTTTGTTGAGATGATCCATACTAATGAGAATCAAGATATTAAAGTCAATTCATTTCTTTTTTATTATTTATATGATAACTATTGTTGACACACCAATTTTCACTCATTTAATACAACCAACAAAACTAGTAAGTCCAATCAAGACTGATTGAACTTGAGACTACTAGCTCCCATCTAGAGATTGATCGTTGTCATTTTGCACCCTTTAGAATAGTATGAGTAAAATCACCAGCTAAAGCTAATGGATTCAAAATGTAGATTTTCAGCTAACCCAGATGAGCAAATGGTTGCAACCTCCTGTCTCATTATTTTGGGTCCAGAAGCAAGAACTCCCACACTTAACTCTCTGTGTTCAAATAGCATTCCTGTAAAAGGAAAAAAGAATTGAGTTATTTCTATCCGTTGATAGGTCCTTAAGCCATAATTAAAGAGATTGGAGGTGACTTACTTCTTAGGTCAGGTCTTTCACCATAATGCACATTGGTAGCATGAATAAGGGATTGGTATGGAAGGCTTTCCAATTCTTTCTCTGCATTGTATACCATGGAGTTTGGTGACACTGTTGGTGTTGAGCCTTCCATGTTTTGAATCTGCTTTACTTCTTTAGCATTATATTTCTTGTTCCAAAGAAAAGCTGCACTAGCAACACTTGCTATGGACACACATATTACTAGCATGTTAAGAAATGCATTCAAAGTGAAAGAGAATATTTTATTAGAGTTATGATCAATCGGAAAAATGTAGTAACAAGTAATGATCCCTATTAAGATAATGAAAATGATGAAAGAGGATGAGATTATAGCAGCAAGCCAGAGCCAACTGTTTGGACCTAATGTAGCATGTATTGGTGCATCGGATGAATTTGGCTTTAACCATATGGTTTTAGGGTGAATTGGGCCATCTGCTTTAAGCTCTTTGTCTCTTGTGAGATAAGCCTCAATTTGTAATTTCATATCAGAAATGTCAGATGGGGTGCCAGATATTGGAAAGATCAAATCTAACATTGATAAAGATGAAGAATTCTTGAAGGCACAAATTAGGACAACTTTTGGGATTTTCCATTTGAGAGCAGTCTTCAGATGTATTAGCTCCCGAGTGATGGATATAAAAGGTGTGATGCCACTTCCTCCACTCACCATCACAAGAGTGTCATGCCTGGTAAAGAGGAAAAAAAAAAGTTATTACTATGTGTGATAAAGCATAAGGTTTCATGTTGTGTTTTGCTTCTAAGATACAAACCGTATATAATCAGTTGAAATGGGTCCATAAGGACCTTCAACAGATACAACAAGGCGATCTATTGAGGAAGGAGTTGAAAGTAGTTGATAGAGCTTTTTGGTCCAAGTTCCTCCACTTTTAATAACAACACTTAGCTTGTCTCGCTCCAAATTACTATTAGAAGTAACAGTAAATGGATGCCACTGCAGCTTGGATATGTTTGGTACATTTATGAACATCACACTTGTGGGGTTGTAAGTTAATCCTGCCAAAAACATACACATTAGCTCTTAAAAAGTCTCAATAAAAAAAAAAGTCATCTCCTAAGAACTAGAGGTAGCTTTAAGATATTGAGATAGGATAATAAGAAATTATTACATGGTTCAGGATTACCATGGTCTCAACTAATTTTCACATGACATTTAATTGAATGTTATTAGCTATGTTTTGTAAATTAAAAAACATGAATATGTGGTGGTTTAGGACAATGTAATAATTTCTCAAGATAGCCATATTAATTACCATGACTCTTGGAGAAGTTGAGTTCTACAGCTTCACATGGCAAAACCCGTGCAGAAACCAAACGAACTTGGCGTCTTGATTGCAAAAACCTTAAGCAACGATCAACCAAGAAGAGGTAGAAACCAGGGAGCATAATGCAGGTATAGGAAATGCCAACATGAAAGATGAAAAAGATTATGAAAAGGATGTAGAAGTGACGAGTGTAATAGAAGAGCTCAAAGAATTTTCGTCTAATTGGGGGAATGGTTGCAATCCATAGGAGAAAACCGAAAAGCAAAGATATCTCTCCGGCCATATTCGATACACCAGTTTTTTGCCATTTCAGAATCTGCAATGAAACAGTGGCATAACCTCATGAGCTTAATATATGTAATACTATAAATAAACTGATATAAAATTGCGTTCAAATGACTTGTTTAAGAATAATAGTGACAATTTGTTGCTTTGGTCTCTAAAATGCTCTATTGCGACAATTCTTGGATTAATTATTGTCAAATAAATTTGTGTATATATATATATATATTGTAAACTATTAATGTAATACTTTCTTATATAGATGCATAAAACCATATAAATATGATTCATGTAGCACAAAAAATTTCATGCATCAAACATGCAGACTTCACAATTTTTCTCCCCTTTAGGGTGATGCACAAGTTTGCAATCTTAAGCAGGTCAGAAATGAAATAAGGTAATAAGCATATAAGCTAAAAAATATATATATCACAGTTTTCCTCTTCACAAAATTTCAAAAATTTACTTGGTTTCTGTTCTTACCGGATTCTGGTCGTAGAGGTAATCCGTCCAGTAAGATCGGTGAGCCTCCTTTGCTGATACGCTAGTGCTCCAAGATGGGGGAGGTACCTGCAAAAGAGACTCCGATGCCAAAGTTAGGGTTTGTATGAGTATGAGTCTCGTATAAATAATGCACGTACCTTAGTATGAATTAGGGTTGTTTTGGGCTCTGGGCCTAAGATGAGATATATTATGATAATATAAGATATGATATGATATGATATGATTAAGTGGGGGATCTTGTCTGGGGCGAGATCTTCTGGAATCAGTTGTGATTTATTTAAGAGCCGAGCTAACATCGCGTTAGCGCGTGCCCGAGGTCATCTTGCATTTGCGAGACCGAGCTCGGAGCTCGGTTTTGCAGTACGGTCAGTACACTAGTCCCCCGAGCTCCAAAGACGTTTGGTCGAGGAGTTGAAAACGAGTTCGTGAGAAGCAGTTTTTTGCGAACGTGGTTCGTGGGGGTGTCGCGTGTCGCAACTGTTTACTTCTTGTGAAGCGTGCAGGTGGTACGTTGATGGTTATGCAATGATGGTCTCATTAAATGTGTCGTCCGGGGCGAGATCTTCTGGAATCAGTTATGATTCATTTAAGAGCCGAGCTGATATCGCGTTAGCGCGTGCCCGAGGTCATCTTCGCGTTTGCGAGACCGAGCTTGGAGCTCAGTTTTGCAGTACGGTCAGTACACTAGCCCCCCGAGCCCCAAAGACCTTTGGTCGAGGAGTTGGAACCGAGTTCGTCAGGGGAAAAAGCACCTCCCGCGAACGTGGCTTGCGGAGGTGCCATGTGTCGCGACTATCCATTTCTTGGAAACGTGCGTGTGGCGTGTTGAAGGAAATGACAGTTATACAATGATGGTTTCATTTAATGCGTAGTCAGGTGTGTCCCCCGACTGGCACGTGTCGTGGCTGTTTGAATTTTTGGGAAACCCTTTTCTCTTTGTCGCGCCTCTTCTCTTTTCACCTTACTTTTCTTTCCATCCTTTCAGCTTCTTGCGCACGCCTTCTTTCCCGTCTTCATCCTTTCTTTTTATCGATGGCCGGTGGTCGTGGTGCCAGTTCTTCTGCGCCTGCCAGGGGCAGGGCGCGCGGCAAGGTGGTGGCTATCGGAAGGGTCGTCGCCTCGAGGGTGGGTTCGCCTCCACCTGCGGACTTGGAATTGGGCGTTCCTGGTTATGGTTGGGTGAAGCGCGAGATGGCAAAATTCGAGAGTGTTTTCAAATCTTTTTTGGACGTTAACTCGGTTTGGAGGACACATAGGGTTTGCGACTCCTCTATCTCCCAACTGATTCGACTGGAGCCCTGTCCGGCTGGGGATTGTGTATTCATGGGGAAGTCTACCGACTCTCCCCACTTTTATGTGTATCAGTGCTTTTTCAGGGACCTAGGCGTCCGTCTTCCCTTCACTCAGTTCGAGTGCGACTTCTTGAACTATATTAATGCTGCTCCCAGCCAGTTGCATCCCAACAGCTGGGGTTTCCTGAGGGGGTTTCAAGTTTTCTGCGCCGTGTTAGGGATGGAGGTGTCTCTTCGTGTCTTTCTTAGCTTCTACCAGTTAAAGTCGGGTGTTCCGCCTTATGGCGTTCTTTCTTTGAATGAGGGTAAAGATGGGGGTTTGTTTACCCTTTACTCCCAATCTTATAAGAATTACAAGTAGGAGTTTTTCTGGGTCGCTCTTGTCGGTGTTGACCCGTCTGAGGATGGTGCGTTCTACTTTGGTGGGTTGCCGAAGTTTCCTTTTTACTGGTGCCCTGACCCGTCTGGGTTTAACGGGGTGGATCCTTCGCAGTTGACGGCTTCGGAGGTAGCTGCCGTTGAGAATCTCAAGGCACTTCCCCGACCTCTAGATGTTAAGCTTATCCTGTCGCTTGAGAATTCGTTGCACAGGGAGAGGGGTTTGGAGAGTGAGTATCTCCTATTTTCGTAACTTGTTAGGGTTCGTGCAACTTGTTTTCGTTGACACGTGTTCCGCTTTTGCTTGCAGGTATATTGGGGAAAAATTTGTGGCGCGAGCTGAAGCATCGCTACAGGGTTACTGAGCTCGAGGCTTCTGAACCCCCTGAGGAGGAAGTTCCCTCCTTGAATCTCAACCGAAAGAGAAAGAGGGACGAGTCGGGGGCCTCTGCTTCTTGCGGGACAGAGGGGGTTACTTCCCACACTGCCGCCGCCGAGGCAATGGATTTGACTGGGAGTCGTCCGCCCGAGGTAGGCTCTCGAGCCGCTGGTCAGGATGGTCCGACCTCCGAGGCGGTGGCCCCGGTCGCGGTGCAGGTTGTCCGAGCTTCCTCGGTAGGTGGTGTGTGTTCGTGATCCTTCGATGTGCTGGGTGTTTTTTGTTTGTTGAGCTTATGTCTCTTGTTCTTTCTTCCTTTTGTAGGCGAGCGGGGTTGGTCTTTCTGGTGCGGGGCCAGGGACCTCCGCTTCTGCGCTGATTGGTGCTCGCGGCCAGGTTCCTAGTTCCGAGGTTCCGACGCCTATCCTGGTGGCGAAGGGACCCCCGAAGCGTCCGTACGTCGCCTATCGCTATGCGTAGGAGGGTGCGTCTGCGCGCTTAGAGCACCTGAGTGCGTCGGAGGAAATCGACTCTTTGTGGAGTGCCGCGGCGACTCCTGAGAAGTTTTTTCCTAGAGGGTCCCTGAGTACGGCTGACCAGGAACTGATCGAGTCAGCTGGGCCGGTAGGGAGCTTTGATGCTGCTCAGATCTTCTTGCAAAGGGGCACAACCATTATGGATTATTGGAAGCATAAGTGGTCCAAGCAGCAAGGGGATGTTGTGATGCTGAAGAGCCGAGTTCAATCCTTGAGTGAAGAGAACAAGGTTCTGAGAGTTCAGAACGGTCGGCTCTGGGTGAAGCGAAGCTGCAAGGTGCCGAGTTTCAAGCGGTGAGGGGGGACCTTGCTAAGGTTCAGGAGTCATTGGAGGCTGCTTTGCGCTCCAATGAAGGTTATGTGGGCCAGGTTCGCTCTTTAGAGGATGAGGTATCATTTTTGAAGAGCGAGCTGGTGTCGGTGACCGAAGAGCGTCTTCGCGATGAGGTCATCATTGGTAGCAAAGAGGAGGAGATTGCTGCCAGCTGCTCAGCGGAAGGCTTTCTCAGCGCTGGAGGCTGAGAATGCTTCACTGAAGAGGAGGCTTGAGGAGGTTGAGCGTTCCGTTGTGGTGGAGCACAAGAGGGGTTTCCTCAAGGCTGCTCGCCAGGCTAGATTCCTCGCGCCGGGGTTCGACTTTTCCAGCATGCATGTGGAAAAGGTTGTTCGTTTTGGGAAGCTGGTCGGAGAAGACGTTGTCGAGGATAGTTCTAGCGACAACGCCTCTGCGTAGGAAAGTTTTTGTTTGTTTTTTCATACTTGTATTCATGTTTTGAACATGTTTGTTTTGTATATATGCGCCTTTTTCCTGCGCCTAGTTTTGAGGTTCGAAATTGACCTCAGTTTTTAATTAATGCCGTAATTCGAAATTGGTCTTGGACGATCATGCTTAGGTCGGCTTTTCGGCCTCTAGTAAACATGGTGAGGCTTGTATTCTAGTGAACGCGTCGCAGTTCGTACCCGTTTTGTTGTTGACCTTGGGTGGAACGATCTCATATGAGGATTGTTTTGCGATTTTGAATAAGCGTGTTACGGTTTGTATTCGAGCTTAGCGAGGTTTAGACTTAACCTCGGAAAGGTGTATAAGGTTCGTTTTCGACCTTACGGATTTGGCGAGGTTCAGTCTTGACCTCGGATAAGGGTGTAAGGTTCGTTTTCGACCTTATGGATTTAGCGAGGTTCAGTCTTGACCTCGGATAAGGGGGTAAGGTTCGTTTTCGACCTTACGAATTTTGTGAGGTTCAGACTTGACCTCGGATAAGGGTGTAAGGTTCGTTTTCGACCTTACGAATTTTGCAAGGTTCAGACTTGACCTCGGATAACGGTGTAAGGTTCGTTTTCGACCTTACGAATTTTGCGAGGTTCAGACTTGACCTCGGCTAAGCATGTAAGGTTCGTATTCGACCTTACGTTGTGAGTGTGGGTCCTTAGGGTGTGTGATTTCGTTCATGCAAAAGCGATAGATGAGGTAATCGATTGTGCGAAATGAGTAATTTTATTGATAGTTTTTGTGTGCCTCATTAAAAACCCTCTCAGTTCGAGGACTAAGGCGGGAAAAGAGTGCATGGCTCATTGGTACAGAGTTCAACTGAAATAGATCTTGAGATGTGTGGCGTTCCAAGTTCGTGGTACGGGTTTTCCGTTGAGTTCTTCCAGTCTGTATACTCCATTTTTCAAGTCATCTGTGACTCGGAAGGGGCCGCCCCAAGTGGGTGCGAGTTTCCCGTCTGACGTGTCCTTTCTTGCTTCGCCCAGTAACCGCCATACTAAGTCTCCTGCTCGGAAAGCGCGAGGTTTTACTCGGGTGTTGTACCTTCGAGAAGCTCGGAGCTTGCAGGCTTCTTCGTGGATTTGGGCTTCATCTCTAAGCTCGTCCACCAGGTCGAGGTCAGTCGCTAGTTCTTGGGCATTCTGTTCGCCATTGAAGGTTTGACGTCTGTGGGATATTTGGCCGACTTCTATTGGGATCATTGCATCAGTTCCATAGGTCAGCCTATAAGGTGTCTCTTGTGTGGTTGACTGGGGGGTGCAATGGTACGCCCAGAGGATACTGGGGAGTTCCTCGGGCCATTGTCCCTTGGCGCTTCCTAGTCGCTTTTTGAGCTCCCTGAGGATGACTTTATTGGCAGCTTCAGCTTGGCCGTTGGTCTGGGGGTGTTCCACCGAGGTTGAAAGGTGTTTGATCCCAAGTTCGTTGAGGAATTCTTCGAACTCTTGTGCAATGAACTGTCGCCCGTTGTCGGTAACGAGGGCATGAGGGATTCCGAAGCGGCAAATGATGTTTTTCCAAGTGAATTTCCGCACGTTCTCGGTGGTGATTTTGGCGAGTGGACAGGCTTCGATCTACTTGGTGAAGTAGTCGATTGCTACTAGGAGGAATTTTAGTTGTCCCTTCGCGGGTGGGAATGGTCCAAGGATGTCCATTCCCCATTGGGAGAAGAGCCATGCTGACATCATGTGGTGGAGGTTTTCGGGTGGCTGGCGGTGCGCGTTGCCAAACTGTTGGCATTCTTTGCATTTTTGGATGTGGCTCTGGCAATCTGACTTCAAAGTGGGCCAGTAGTACCCAGCTCGGAGTACTTTGGCTGCCATAGAGCGCGCTCCAGAGTGCATACCGCATATCCCTTGGTGGATTTCCCTGGTGACATAGGCTGCCTGAGATGCTGTTAGACATTTAAGTAGTGGTGAGGAGATGCCGCACTTGAATAACTCATCGCCAATGATGACGAACTTGGCCGATCTCATCCTTACCCTCCGAGCTTCATTCTTATCCCCGGGCAGGACCCCCTCTTTCAGGTATCTCCAGATGCTTGCCATCCAGCCCAGGTCTTCGTTGTTACTGAGGTTGACGATTTTGTCGTCCAGGCTGGGGGAGTGTAGGGTTTCCTAGATGATGGTTCGGTGCTGCCCGGGTCTTTTGGTGTTGGCGAGCTTCGATAGGAGGTCAGCCCGGGCGTTTTGCTCTCGCGGCACGTGCTTTATGGTGAATTCATCGAAGGCCGAGATCTGGTGGGACGCAGTGTGAAAGTACCGTTGCAGCATAGTGTCCTTTGCTTGGTACGTCCCGCTGAGCTGCTCCACCATGAGCTTTGAGTCACTGTTGCAATTTACTCTTCTAGCTCCGAGGTCGCGGGCCAGCCTCAGTCCCGCGAGGAGTGCCTCGTACTCCGCCTGGTTATTGGTCACCTTGAACCCGAATTTTAGGGATTGCTCTA